CTTCCAAAACTACAGCTTATTAGCTTCATTAATACTTCACTGATAAGCCTAACGAAAACTGACCATTACAAGCTTCAGAAAGAAAATATTTGTTCCAGGGATTTCAAAGTAGGAAATTCAGTATGAAGAATAAACCAACTCACTTGGAAACAAATCACCGTTTCATGTCAAAACACCCAAGAAACTGCAGAGACAGCATGTACCAGTCACTACCACAGCTGAGCCAACACAGTTCAGTAGTTATGGTCTCTCTCTGTCTCGCTCGCTCACAGACACACACATACTGTACACGTCCCATTTGTACACAGGTCTTCTACATCGTCATCTTTCACTTTATCTTCCTGAAACAGAAATGTGGTTGCTCTTAATCAAAACCTGCCTATATCAAATGACATTTTACAGACTTAAAAAAAAAAAAAAAATCTTTTATGCCAGTAATCCGGTAACATATTACACTCTGCATATCCTCTGTTGAGCACAGCCACCCCCTGCCGTTGGAGACCTTGATAATGATGATAAAAAACATGTGGTCATTGTGGCCACATGTTCATTTTTTGGTTAAAAACCAAGCTGCTTTTGAAAAGACCACAGAAATGCTACCTTCTACGGTTCAGCTGCAGTTACCATAAAAAGCTATTAGAAACTGCATCTATCCCTTGTTCCTCCATCATGTTTTGGTGGTTATACCTATGATTCTTTGATTGGCTTGGACTGTAATTATTGTCCCAGTGCTGGGGAATTAAAAATTAAAGCAGAGCAGTCAGGATGGCCCCAGTTTTCTTTACTTGCAGTAAGGGTGTAACAATCCATTGATCTGGATCGATCAAACACCCCGCAGTCTGATGTCATCGATTCAAAATGTAAACATTTTGAGAAAAGAAACTTGGAGGGTTCCTAGGTGACACGTCTCACACGCATGTCAGTGTGGACTGACACATTTTATAGGCTCAATTTTTTTAAATTATACTTCTATCAAATTTTAGTTCATAAAAATATAATTGTGTGGAATAGGCAGATAATATTGCTTTATATCAATCGCAGGCCCCTGAATCAAACTGAATCGAAATCATGTTTTGGCATATTTTTAAGGATTGGCAAACAGCGGATTGCTGTCAAAGAGAATCGATATACATACAGTAGGATCCTATCATGATGAAAGTGGCGATTTACACCTCTAACTAACAGGTCTACTGCTTCCATCCAGCTACGTGCATTCATGTGTTCTGGCTCCATACTGCCAAACAAACTGAGGAAAGCCTTACCAGCTGGTGGTGGCTGTATATCTGTCTGTATGTACATGGCTTGTGTGCGTGTGTGTGTGTGTGTGTGTGTGTGTGTTGGGCATTGGAGGAATAAACAGCTGAAACTACTATTTGCCCCATACGGTGCATGCTAGTGTAACACTACATCACCCGCACAGTCAGACAACTGTCTGGCAGCTGCCTCAAGCGGCCATGCTCATCATGCGGGAAGCCCAGGTTGAACCTCCTTCAGGAGGCATTACCCAACCCACGCAGTCACACAGAGTCACACTCAGCAATTAAAGCTGAGTCAAAAATGCTGTTTCTCTGGGTCACATCATGAACCAATTGAAGAACTGACTAAGGCAGCCAGTGCTCTGCTCTGTGAGAGGGGAAAAAGGGCAGAACAGGTCACTTTGCCAGAAAGACCATTAAATCTTAGTGGAAAACTGCAGACTTGTTCACATGTGTTCAACCCAACCCACACAGTCAAACAGCTGCATTTGGCATGGCTCTTAAGAAACCTTCAACACAATATAATATGACAACAGAGAATAAACACAGCCATGCCCTGGGTAGCTTCTGTCTATAATTAATGCAGATGTACTACTGTTAACTCAAAACGCTGTTGAAGAATGTTTGCATTAATGGGAAAACAGGATGAAACAGAATTACACGAACTTGGCTTGTGACAAGATGCTGTCTGACAACTGTTCTTCCAACTTAGACCGAGCAGTTGGTTTTGCAGTGAACTACAAACCAGCCACCACTGTGAATTAATAGGAAGTAACAGATGAAACTTGCAGTAAAATCTGAAGGATGTGTATCCTCAGCGAGAACACCAATTAAAACCCCGTTTGTCTGTTTTTATCTTTCTGTGCTTCACAGACTTAAGTACTTAAAAAGGGATTCAAGTGGCAAATTCCAAACAGACTGAATATAGAAGAGGTAAGTGAGGAGGAGATGGAGGAGGAAAGATAGGAGGAGCACAACATGTAGAGACTAAATTAGCAAACTATGATCTTTTTGTGGTCTTGGCAATGGGGAGATCCCAAAGAAGAGCTAATGACTGTAGTGGTATCTGGCATGGGGGCCAAGTTTCCTTGACTGCTTTAAAGTTGCCTCCAGTCCATAGCCACCATGTCATGAGCAACATATGCTGAGCTATCTTGCAATTATACCATTATCAAGGTCTTTCCTCCCACTGATTTCCATTATATGTCACTGAGCAGATTTTAAAAGGAACCTTGTCCTCCTAGTCCTTCTGGACAGGAAAGTGCAGTTCAGCCCTTATGAACGCAGGCAGGTCTGTGAAAAATGACCGGGCTGACTAATAAACATCAAACAAACTTGGAAGCAAGCCAACACCAACTGTCAGATATAGAACACTGAGAATTATTGCTCAAACATTACCACTGATGCTGTATCAAGTAACTGTTTACCAGTTGAATTCAATTTTAATACGGCAATAAAATAAAAACACGAGTGAATGACACAACTCTACGGCACTAGAGGTGTATTTTCTTTCCCAAACCATCACCATCAAAATGAAATCTTTATTCAAGCAGTGCAGAAGGTGCAATGAATATTTTATGTGCAATATACTGTCTCAGAGACCATTAACTATACTGCAGTGTGCATAATTTGATTAACACTGCCTTCCCCATCAGAGCTTCTGTGTTATTAACTTCATTTCAGGTCCCTGGGAGGGCGTGAAATTAAACAAATTCACCTGATCAAGCACAACAGACAAGTAAACACAGGGTGGTATAATATGCAATTAAACATGTTCACTGCGACTTACAATTTGCAAAGACAGTACGGTGTTTAACTCATCAAAATCTTAACAACGATCTTTCACGAACCATAATTAAGGCCATTTAAGAAATAAATCTTACTTATCACAGGCTATTACAGGTAATTTGCTAACAATTTCACACAGCATCACACTGAGTCGGACTTAGAGAAACATCTTATAACGTCAGAATAAAAAGATCTGCAGTAGAAATATCTGCCCTGTGCGGGAGCAGCAGTGGGAGAAGGTGACCACTGCTAGCCGTTGTGCCACTGTGACCTTAAACAACAGAGAGGAATGGCCGGATTTTATTGTCCGAGCATGAGAAAAGGAGAGAGAGCGCTGCTCTGGCTTGATGGATGGGGTCCAACTGGGAAAGTGAGGCTAGAATAAAGGACCTATGTCCCGCCATAAACCTCCTGCATTTAAGAGCATGTGTGTGGGTGAGGGTGTGTGTGTGTGTGTGTGTGTCTGGAGAAGAGGGAAACGGTGATATCAGAGTGATTCATACATCCAAGGCAGGCTGCAACAACCCTACAATATTAAATTCTCCCTCTGTACTGTACTGGAGAGCGGGTGAAGGGACTGCTGTGTAAAGCTCTCTTTCCCCTTTAATTTTGGCACTGACTGTTGAGGGAAACAACCACGTCAGACAAAGGCAGAGACCAGAACTATGAGACATGTAACTACTGTATACAGTGACTGTTTGAAGTAGACTAGAACCAGTACTGTGGTGCCAAATCAAGTCTAGACTGGTAAATGCAGCATAAGCATAAATGGTCAATCTGTTAAGGCAGATCACTAGAGGGGGCCACTGCATTAACAAGAGACTAGTCAACAATATATTGCCGAGAGTGACTCATGTTTAGTCATGTCAGAAATGATTTTCAAAAGAAAAGAAAACATTGGTTATGACACAGCACCTGGGTTGTTTCTACAGTCCCAATTAAATATAAAATGTGGATGGTCTCCAACTCTGAACTGAGACTTTCAGATTTAATAAGGGCTCTATGAATTTTGGATGACAGAGATGCAGTGGGCTGGAGCTGGACTGTGTTGCCAGTGGCATACAGCATGTGAGCGTACACAGTTCTAATTGTCTCCACATCATCCAGATGTGGTCTGTACTGGTCAAGGTACTTTTATTGTAGGTGCTGTGACCCTGGTGTGATTCCAAGAGATCACGAAAAAAGAATTGAGACACTGAGGGGTTCCAAAACAGCAGTGGCTCACGCTATCATGTAGCTTCAAAGAGCTCCATTGTTTTCTGTGGGGAACAGTGGGATTTATCAGGAAATTACTATGTTTGATGACTTTTACAGCCTTGCAAACTAATTCTGTGTTTTGTTGTTGTAGAAAGCTCCGCTAATTTAGCTAGTTAGCTACCTAATGTATTAAAGTGACGCCAAAAAGGTTGTAAAGCGTGTTGTAATACATGTCAAACATAAAACATCACAAGTATAATTACTGCTTTTGATTTCAACTTCTTACTTTAGAACATAGCAGCCGAGTCAATGTAAATTTATGGTGCTGCTCCTGATGTTTGGACATGTAGTATTTTGTACATCTTTTCCTCCTTATACTGTGGGCACAATATTTAAATGTGTGTCAAACAATTACGAACCACACAGGACTCTTCAAAGAGTCACAGACACAAGCAGTGAGGCTAAATCATTGGCCATATATTCAAGCAATTTCTGTGAATGATGGTTTAGTTGACAGTATGTTTGTGCACAGTATGTAAGTGCACACTAAGGAGGGAGTAAAAAATGGGCTTTCATCTTAGCTTTTTCATCTGTTTTCATAAACACGGCGAAGGTCATTTCAACGTTCACACTCTGAATCTTAATAAGAAGGATGTCTATGAAATACACTTAATAAAGTCAAGAACAGATTTATGAACCCGACTGCTACAATAAAAAAACCTCTGAAATAGAGTTTGTGTCTCCTGATCTTCCACATACCTGCATCCTTCTTGCTTCCCTTGCCACCATCTCTGTTCTTCTTCAGCACTGACTTGAACATAGCAAGATTCCTGGAATCCTCTTTGTAGATCCCCTGAAGGAAAGGAAAACAAAAACGTTGAAAACAGAAATGCATCCACTGTCACTCAAAGAAAACCATGGAAATTATATGGAAATACAAACAGATCTATTTCTATTCATGGTACAAAAAAGGGGCAATTTTCAAATGCAAATAAAAATATATTAAAACACTTAAATATCCAGGTCTTTTTACCTCAAACTAGCCAAATACAATACGTGTCCTCAAAAACCTAACATAGCCATGGCAGAACAGTGTATATCCGCATTTCATGCTGCTTAGCTAGCACAGCACTCCCAATCCTGGAGGTCATCAGTGAGGGGGGCATGGAAAGAATGTTCTAATATTTGAAGAGAAAAGGACAAGTTTTGCTTATCTTGTTATGCAGGAAAACACTGTCGAATGCCCTGAATTCCACATTTAATTGATGCCAGTGTGCATCTTGATTCCTCAGAGTTAAACTGTAGGTATAACATGAACTCAAGGTCTATCCTGGATGTGTGTGTTTACTTTGAAACTATTTATAGCCCCGCGTAGCTGGACATTGGTAAAAACAAACTTAAGTCAGTGAAAACAGTTAATTGTGGGAGATTTTTGGTTTCTAACCCCTTAAACACAACATAATGGACTGCTGGAGTGCAGCCTACTATATTAATAGCGGCAGGACAATCTTTTCAATAAAGAGAAAACAATGGTTTCAACCAAATAAGGACGTGCCTTCTGCAAACAAAACACACAGTCCTTGTACGGAGTCCTCAGAAGCCAGGCTTTAGATATCTAGGTTCTCTTACTGTTGCTGTGAGAGAAGCTACAGTATTGATCCATGCACTTTCATGCTTGATGGTATCAGATGAAACGCTGTGAAGCCAACCCTCCACTGAACCTATTGTGGGAGGTGGAGGTGTACTGGGCAAATCAATAATGAGCCTCTGCATCACATCTCAGCCTTGACTGGTCAAAAAATTAACCTTTCATGGGGTTTTACACCACCAAGTAAAACTCTAAATCAAGGCCATCAATGGAGTTTCAAGGTAGCGCATGGTTCCTGGATTGATTTGTGATCCACTGTGAAATAACCAGGCAAACACACATACAAAGCAAGCCTTTCTTTCTGCAGCCTTGTTCCATCTCAGTCCAATTTTCAAATAATAACATTAATGCCTTGAAAATCTTGACTCCAGTCTGAAGGGCTGTCCAACAGTTTGTACTGAACAAGGCTTAAAAAAAAGTTTTAGCTCCAGCATATTAGCATGCTAACATTTTTGATCATTAGCAGTAAAGTACAGCTGAGGCTGAGGAAATATTGATATATTATCATAATAAACAAAGTGTTGACTGTGTTGTGCTCATGATATCAAAGAGTATGGGGGCAGGGTAGACGCAGGTGTGATCTGTACAGTATGATATAGCGCTGTACATTAGCCTTATCAGCTGAACTGCTGACTGCTGTGCGAGGTGCTGGCTGCTCATCTCCACAGTAACAATAAACATCGCCCAAGTGAACCCAAAGGAAATGAGCAACGCCCTCTTGAAAGTCCAAAAGTCAACATGACAAATTCCTTCCATCCCCCCACGCACACACACACAAACATACAGTCAGTTTCTACTCTGAGAATGAGATACTGCCTCTCATCTACAGTACATCACTTCTTATCCTGAGATACATTTCTATTAGGCAATTTTCTCCTAGGTGAGGAACTGAGCCCTGAACATAACTTGAATGAAATCTACTGTAGAACCAGTGCCACGTACAGCACCGGCTATTCTGGGTGATGAACAGCCAGAAAAGGCAAAACCCCTGTAAGTGTTGTCTATTCGTGTTTATTAAATTACAATTAGTAGGGAGAGCTTTTTAATATCGTTTGCCCTTGCTGCTGTTAAACTCAGGTATGGTATGGCATCCAGCAAGACAGGAATCAAAATTCCTCCACCCCTCAAAATCAGATCCATATCACTGCATTTAAGCTTTGGATATTGGCTTCAAAGCATGGCCTCTTAGAAGGGCCCTCTCAAAACTACAACAGATCAATCGAAATGCCACAGAGCCTTACAGGCCTTTGTGGATACACACTGGCTCAACAGAAAAAAACCTCTCAGCGTTCACAACAGCTCAGAGTAACAGCAGATTATTAGCTCCCTAAACAGCCTCTTCTGTTATCCTAGACAGGTTTCAAAACACCCAAAGCAATTAAAGAGATACACACCAAAGACTTATCACTGCATCTGGGCAAAAACGTGTGACGGTAAGAATGCTTCGCCACTTCTGGCATTTTCAGCAAGGTATATGTCAGTTCTTGTCAGCTGTCACCATTGAACAGCTAAAAAACAAACAAACAAAACAATAGCAATGACTCCACTCTTTGTTACAATACAGAGACAGTTAGCTTTCAGAGAAGAGAAACTGGAAGTCAGGGTGGTTAAAAAGCGCCTCAGGTTATCAACATGTATGTTTTCCAGGTCACCCCTGACTTGATAGAGTTCAACTCCTTACAGGTTGTGAGGTAGAAAAGATCCTCACCTGCACAATGCTGATGTGACACGTGGTTAATGGGGCCATCTCGCTATACCACAGTCATCCAAGACAACAGCTATATATAGAAGGAAAATAGGATTGTTTGTCCCAATTGCCGGAGGCAGGGAAGCATTTCACATACATTGGCAGTTGGTGAGTTATAACCTGCTTTGTCCTCTGTTAGATGGCAGACAATAGAGAGAGCAGCCTTAAGCTCAGGCCAACTTCACCACTCTTCCAGAACGGCTGGAAACAGCTATTTTCCACCCTGTGCGTTCGATCCTTTCCTGTTGAAATGCCCTGCCAGCTCTCTTAATCAACCGATTCTCCATGAATGATCACTCTTAGATTTCCATACTGTTGTCACAGTAACATGGAAATTCTCCCCATGGGATGACCCTCAGGCTTGTTTATGAAATGCTGCAAGAAGCGATTAGATATTTTTAAATATTACCCTGAACTCCATAACTATCTACTCTTCAGTTGTCAATTCCCTAAGTACAGGAAATAGGCCCAGCCCAAACAGGGAGTTCAAGAGATCAATCAACAATGGGAAAGAAGGAAGCGCAGGGATTTGGTATAGAGGACAGCAGAGTCTCGGTGTCAGCCATTGTCAGCAATGACGGTTATTCACACTAACACAAGTAGGAAGGAAATAACAAAAGGACACACATTTTTATGTAACCAGTCTACAGGTTTGGCTCAAGTACTTCCTGCACAACCCTCCACCTTAGAGCCTAAGAGAGCAAGGCCTTCATCTTACAATGAGCGAAAAGGGAAACTCCTTGGAACACAAACAGTTGACCTTAGACAGCACGGAGAAAGTTTAACGTGTTAATGCAGTACTACAGCCAACCATGTCTACTTGCTGGACATTTCAGGCCAGGAATTTGCCACTTGCTTCTTCTTTGTACAATAAAAAGAACACTTAACAGTACTTTTGTACATAGTCTACAAAAAAACAAGGTTATTACAGTGAATTTTACAGAGAATTACAAACACACAGGTGGGAAGGTGTAGTATATCTACTTAAATGCCAGCAAACTCTCCAGAACCTCCACCTATGGTGTAGCAATTGTCTCATAAACTCAACAGCAACAAAACTCAATCACCAAATCAGCATATTGTGTGTGTTGGCAGCCCAAACTGCACAAGAGCAAACAGCATCCCAAAGTATCAGCTGTCAAAGTAATGTCAGACAGATAACAGAGCCACGAGCAGACCAAATCATCTGTTTGAAATCGTCAGAAACACCAACCGCCTCATCAAAGAGGAACACCAGTCACATCCCGCTTTGTAAACCAACCGGTGTGAAAAGCCCAAATAGGCTGAATAAATGCCGTGCACACGTTGCAGCAGCCTCGAGGCTTGTGCTTGACCATTTAGCACCGTTTAGCAATGCAAACTCCATCCAGAGCCCATCTGTGCTATCAGAAATTACTACCTTGAGAGGGGGAGCATTCTGAACCAACTAAAAACGCTGGAACATGATTCCTGCACTTGAAATTGTATAGCACTGAGTAAAGCACCACGAGTTGTTTTTGTATGACGTGGTTTTATTCATGAACATAATGATGCAGCTAGCTCAACTAAGAGAACATATACGTTTCAGGAGAAAAATCTTTTAAATGATGAGAAAACAGAAGTAAACGTCTGCGATGATTTACCTTTATGCGGTGGGTAAATTTACTGTCCCATCACAGACATGAGCACATTCTAAGTTTTAGCCTGGGGCAGAGCCAGCGAGGTTCTTATTGAGCGGGACGAGCCACAAGGCTCAGCATGAAATTAAAAAGGATAACAAGTCTTATCTCCTCGTTACATTGCCATGGGAAAAGCATTGTAATTTTGGGAAGAGTGATTTGCCCTCAGAGTCCACTTGTCCTTAATCCTGTCTAATATAACTAATGATTACATCCAGACACGGGCCTCCGTGCTAGCTCCGCAGCGGCAGAGGGTAAACCTGTGTCTTTGTATCCCAGCAGCGTTGCCCTAGAAGTGTCAAGGCACGTTGAAGAGGGCAATCATTGCTCTGAATTTACAGCTACACCCTAGGCTCCGGAAACTGATAAAACCTGAAACTAAACTGTTGGAATAAGACAAGACATTGTACCCCCTCATCAAATAAATCGCTCTCACAGCCTCACACAGACCAAAATCAAAACCGCTACAGGCTCATATCCTATATTAATCTAGCGTGACAGCTTAGTGTGCAACATGGATTTATGGATGAATTATCATGTGCAGTGGGCCTGTCTTTTAAGCTTTGACAAACCAGTTTCTCCACTCAGAGCTTTTCCTTTTCTGTCAAATCAGCTCTTTCTACTACAACCACACACTCCTCACACCACCCCAGCAGCCACCTGTCTTCTGAAAGGTAACTGCACACTGACATCTCGTTGCCAAAGCAATCCAGTGTTAATGAACATCTGGGGTAAGAATAAATACATAAATAAAGCTGCATCACTGTTGCTTGTACACAGTTCCAGGCAACCTAGTATTTGATTAAGGGTAAAACATTAACAAGCAGTGTTTAAAGTCTAGGGAATGTTCTGGCAAACACTGGGAGAGGTTCTCCCCATATTAAGATTTGTCAGTCGGCAGGACCAAATGTATGAATGAGTGTTATTTTAAAACTAGGGCACATACTTGAATCCTCTGACATCATACCTGCCTAGAAAGCCATGACACACTCAGCAGGCTTCAGACAACAATGCACTTGCAGATAAAATGCCAGTGCTTGTCAGTTTTGGAGGTGTAGCTTATTCTTAGCCAGTCTGTCTTCAGCCATACCGAGTCGGCTCATTAGGACATCATTTGGTGTATAAAATCTGTTCATGTAAATAAACAGTGTATGAATCAAGGGTTACTTATCCATCTGTTTGCTATAACTGCACGAAGAGGACTGGAGGGGGGGCATTCACACAGGAGGACTCACGACTGCCACACTGTGAAACTGTAAAGTGCCTGAGAGCTTTTCTTAAAGGAAGAATCCACAGTTAAAAAGATGGCAGCGTAATTTTGCCAGAAAAAAACAAACCATTAACAAAACACAAAAGGATTTTTTTCCCCTGGGAGTATAAAGATGTCACTAACACTAACTTTGTCTTATTATGGCATGATAGTGAATGGCAAATACATTAACCTAGTCCAAAAGTACTATTTTGCTTTGCAGGGAGTGAACCACAAAACTTCCAATAATAATAATAAAATTTTTTACACTTTTACTGCACACAGAAACAGTATCTGTCCCATTTGGAGTCCCCACAGCCTCTGAACCCAAATATGCTTCAGAATCACAACAGAAATAAAAGTAATTTATGTGTCATAGTGAAAATGTTCTGTTTAACCTCTACCCTTATTTGCAACTAAACTTGTCACAAATACCAATATTTCATAGTTTGGTCCATTTGAGGCCGTCTGCACCTCTGAATCCGTCTCTGTCCCACTGCCTGTCCCTGGGGCTTTCACAAAGGCTTGACAAGAATGTGATCAGTAACAGCTGTTACTAAGAAAGAAGCACTTCCAAACACACATGCACTTTAGATACACTCATGCAAGCATGGGTACACCTGTGCACATTCATATACCTCAGAAACATACCTACTGTACATGCTTGCTCACCAGGACTTTCAAATACTACAGAAAATACTTAACATAAACTAATTAGTGCAATTCAGCAGAATGACTCACACTAGGGAACTTGCCAACTCTATTTAAAAAAAAAAAAAAAAGTCAATATGCATGAATGTCATTTGGTAACGTTTTAATAGATGACCTGAGGGCAAATGAAGACATGAAATGGCAAGGCAAGCATTCTGATACAGAAATTTTCATGAGCCTTTAAGAACTAATGCAATTGCACAATGGCACTTTGCCAGCAGGTCCGTCATCAGCCAGCGTGCGCCCTCCGGTCCAGTAATGAGAACTTAACAAAGTGATTTCCTGATGGTAAATATTAAGTTATTTTAAATCTTAAAGACATATATAATATCTATGATGCGAGTCTTCCCTTAGAGAATTAACAGTATTGCCATACTTAGATTTTTGCTATGCTAGCCATGGTAGGTTTTCATGACTGCTTCAGGCACCTTACTGAAGAAGTGTGTCTCCCTCCTGGCATGACATGAAACACAAAACTATGCATAACAACCTCGGCTTTGCTCGAGTTTCAGGAGCTCGGTGGGAAACTAAGCTTCTGCTAATGTAATGTACACCGTTATTTCAGAACATGCCCTCAAACCACCTGAGCAATTTTGACACTTAAACATTTCCTGGGAATTATATTACAATCCTATTAATATATAATTGCTTAGGAGATGGCCAGATAATCAGCAGCCTGATAAAAGGACTAAACTATAATCACATATTTACTGCTACAAAATACTGTGGTCATCTGCTTAATTTCACATTTCAAACTGCAACAGAGTTCACTTCAAAACAGACCGAGACTCACCAGAGTTTGAACGGCAGCTTTCACACTGGCCCAAACGAACCACACTAATGGACAAATTAAACAGAAACATTTGAACCAAACCAAACAGGTTGTGTGCAAAGCACCTAGCAATTTAGGACATCACAGTGCTGCTTAGATTTGTGGTTAAGATTTAGTTTCTGGTAGATTTTGTATGGTAGTTCACACACCACTGCATTCAGCATTCATTCAAAAACACAGTGTGCTGACAGCTGGGTTCCTGATCCCAACTAATCTCTAAAATAATATCTTTTCCTTGGGAGCCATGTGCTTCTACAGTGAGCAGCTCCTTTTGAAAGTACATAATCGTGACCATCAAAAGCAACAGCTCAGCATGTGCTGTCTGTCAGGTCACAGACTCCAATAACTTGACAATGTGACTCTGCTGCCAGCATCTATTAGCGGCCAACTGGCTGGGGACCATGGGAACCGGGCTCCATAGAGACTGAGAGGAAGACCCATGTGGCACTCTCAATAAGATGAGCGCTCTGTAGAACAAATATCTCATGGCATTGCAGTTGGTAAACAACTAGCCTGAGCATGGGAGCATGCAAATCCACTGTAACGGTTCCATAATCAGTGTCAAACTGCTTGAAATTACGTTGGAAAGTTAATGCTCAATAACTCCAGGTTAGCTGGCAGTCAGAGCGATTGCCAACAACTAAGCCTGGTCCACCTGTTGAGTTTAAAATGAAAAACCAACACTGTACAGTTAGTAGAATTGCCCTTGAAGCCAGATTAAGGCAAGTCAAGTCGACACAGGAAACAGCAAACGTCACAGCAGGTTCTGTCAAGGTACACGACACCAAGAGGTCGGGAAGGTTCCTTGTTCAGAAGAGCAAATCAAATCAGTGAGTTCATGTGCCAATGATGATCAAAGGTGCATCCTGACATTTACAAGCAATTTCTCAAAAGGAAGAAACAGCTTTGAATTTCAAAGCACCTGGCTGAAGTACAAGGAGTTTCCTCCACTGAAAACGTGCTGAAAGCAGCAGAAGTCATATATAGCAAATGGCCATAATTCAAATGACTTAATCTGCGTGGGCAGGCAAGATTACAGTCCTTCAGCCTAAAGCCAGGGTTGGGCTTTGATTTCAAAACCACTGCATCCAATCACAAAATACAGACCAACATTAGCATCAAACCAGACCACACAGTCCCAGTCTAAGAACAGTAATGACCCACATCTACATCCTAATGTGCAGGATGCTGCCCCACAGCATCCATTACAAACCTTCCAAAGTTCTTCAGCCAAATCTATTTATTTTTGAAAGGTTTAAACATCCAGGGCCAATTATTTGAGCTTATTCTGCAGAAACATGTAAACAGAGGGACCTTCTAACAAATATCAGTCTCAGTCACAAGTTTTGTCTATAAAATGTCAGAAAACTGAGAAATGTCTGACACTACACCCAGATAAGGACGAACTCTTCAAATGTCTTTTTTGGTCACCAGTCTAAAATCCCAAATATCCCATTTACAACTGCAGAGGGCAACGTTTGCTCTTATTACTGATTATTGTGAATCTGGGTTTTGGATTGTTGGTTGGTCAAAACAAGCTATTTTATCACTCTGGCTTTGTAACATGGTGACAATTTATATATTAAAAGACTGAAATAGATTCATCAATGACTTAGGAAAATAAAAATGAAGGCTACAGCTGCAGCCCATGAGGAGGAAAAGCCGGATCGAGGTATAGATAAAGTAAAAGGCTTTGACCCGTGTGTCCTGTTCACACCGAGCGGAAACGACCTGAAGCGAATTAACGTTCATCAAGCTTCGGTCACGGTGACATTCAAGTGAAGTTATGGAGCAAGACAGAAGTTTCCTCGCAAGTCCAAAAACACTAAACTGAAAATAAAACAAACAAACACGCTGCTGCCGGTCCCGCTGAGGACATGTCCCGACATTCCTCCCAGGAATAAACTGCAACTAAAACTCTTACAGCTTAGTTTTATTCCTCTGAACTGGTCAAACTGCACGTCCGGACTAACCCCGTCGATACAGGCAGCTTATGGAACATTTTAAGACTTACCTGATAAATGTCATGGATATTAAAGTAACAAGAAAGTTTCCCCAGTCTTCTAGCGTACCTCCACACGCACTTGGTCCACACTTGATCCGGTAGGCTATGGGACGCCGGGCTCCTCCTCCTCCTGCTCCCAGTATGAGCTCACTGCAAAGGAGGCACATCAAGACGGGGGTGGAGGTGGGGGGTGAAACAAAACAGACCACCCCTCCCTCCTTCCTCTTCCTCTTTCTCATCTTTCTGTGCATGCCTCATGGACATGGCAGGACGCAGGAGATGCTACTGATACAGTGACACCTAAGCTGCATTATTGCAGTATCAGGGAGGAAATGCCCTGAGGGTTTGTTGGCTTGTTGAAATACTGAGATCACAAGGAAAAATCCCAGCCTAAGAAAGTTGGAATAACTGTATAATGGAGTATTTTAAAATGTTCAAAATGACCAGTCCCACTGTCAGCCATCTTAGCAGTTATACTGCCTAACTTCAGAGGATGAGCTGAAACATGAGTCAAAGCTTTTATGCAAATTTAGCCTAACTGATTTAGGTCTGTGGTGGCATGGTGGGGCAGTGGTTAGCACTGTCACCATAAAGCAGGAAGGTTCCAGGCTCAAGCCCCAGATGACCTGGAGGCTTTTTGTGTGGACATGCAACTTTGGTTGACTCTAAATTGCCCATAGGAGCGAGAGTGTGTGTGGCTGTCTTGTCTCTAAGTGTCAGCCCTGTGATAGACTGGCAACCTGTCCAGGCTGTACTCTGCCTCCCACTCAGTGTCAGCTGGGACTGGCTCCTGCTCCCCTGCGATCCTCTTCAGGAATAAGTGGTATAGGTAACAGATGGATAGATTTAGGTCTGTATTACTGTTAAAAGCAGGATGTCATTCAATAGCTTGCTGTATATCTGAGTGTACTATGGGCTTCTCAACCTTAGTATTGTATAATACATATTAGCCTCAACACAGACATGATGAAGGAGATGATAGTGGACATGAGGAAGGAGAGGAGAAGTCATTGGCCACTGTTCATCTGGGGGCTTGAAGTGTAGAGGGTGATCAGCTTCAAATACCTGGGCGTCCACATCAGTGAGGACCTCACTTGGACACATAACACCACACAGCTGGTCAAGAAGGCCCAACGGTGGCTGTACTTCCTGAGGAGGCTGAGGAGGTTTGGCATGTCGCTTAGGATCCTTTGCAACTTCTACAGCTGCATCATCGAGAGCATCTTGACCAGCTGCATCACTCTATCCTCAAAGATCCCACCCACCCCCAACACAAACTGTTCATACCCCTACCCTCCGGTCGGAGGCTCAGAAGTGTGAAATACAGGACCTTTTCATTCATTCATTTTCTACCGTTTGTTCCCTGAGCGGGGTCACGGAGGGGGCCGGAGCCAATCCTGGCCGGCAATCGGGTGAAGGTGGGGTACACCCTGGACAGGTCGCCAATCCATCGCAGGGCTGAAATACAGGACCTCTAGAATGAAAAACTCTTTCTTTCCCTCTGCCATCAGACTCCTAAACAGCTGACTCAGGATCTACCTCATGTAATTCCATCTGTACTGTTTACCTACTCTGTTTGCATATGCATAATTGCACACTCACTGCTGAATATTTACACTCCACGGCTCCCATGTAGCATATATTCTCTCTGCATTATATTGTGTTCTTGTATTTTTATTGTGCTTCTTTCACTTGCTGCTATAAAGTGCCTTAGATTTGTGTTATTGCTCATCTACTTTATATTTCACTTGTATTGTGTGACATTCATGTGGACGGTAAAGTAAGAATTTCATTGTACAGAGAAACACGTTTCCTAACTGTGCATATGACAAATAAACACTTTGACCTCTCACCTTGACATATTAATATATATCTTTGTGTATTAATTTGTGGAGAGATTCATATGTTTTCACTACACTATATAATAAACCTATATTCAAGTAAAAGATTCAAACATGCAACTGGACTGTTGTAACAAGGCTTTGCAGACTGCTGCATGCACCCTGGTCTGGCAGTTGATGCTCACAATACGCCTTAGGCTATGGCGACCTCATGAGGTAAACATTTTTCATGCAGCTTGTTTCATGTGCAAAATGTTTAAAAGGAGAGCAGTCATAATAAGATCACTAACTGTTGGTGTGTAAGCTGCAATACACATATAACCTTTATTAGTGTAGAGTAAACCTGCACACTTGAGAGGAGTCCATTTTGGGACTGGAAACCACATATACTCAGTCATCCCACAGCTTAGTGTGAGGCAGTATTAACCAGTCAGTGTGCAGTGTTTTCTCAGCAGTGCAGTGGGCGTCGTGGGGTCAGCGAGGCTCCTCAGATGGCCAGGAATGGGCAGACATTGGCAGTGAAATGCACCATGTCTGCAAGTCAGAAGACCACCAACTGCTCCGCTCCTCAAACAGAGCCAAAGAGGTCTCTGAACTTCACACACAGATGGTATCAAAGGCATGTGTGAACAGCATGAGCATCACTGGGAATTTAAGGTCAGCACATTGTGTTTACAAGGCTATCGTCGTGTACTTTGTTAGAGAACAAACGAACAGCAGATATTGTTTGTGGACTTTCTCATGCAAACAAAAAGGACCATGTATGAACACACAGACACTACACAATTGGGTGTGAGCCTTGGGCATATAAAGATACTGTTAGGTCTAATTTTGTTTTCTAGCTATTCAAATAAAAATGGTCTAATGAGATAAGAAACTGAGGTCGACGGTGAAATTGTGAAACCAAATGTGCTCTATAGTTAAGAGATTTGTGTCAGGACAAACTGTGGTACCTTACCACACTGGATATTATGATCCTTTGGGTTTGAATGGACACCGGTTTACAGTCTGAAAGCTGATGAAAAACACTTTTGTATAAGGTTTAACCTCAGCTTGGAAAATGTGTTGAGGTAGTGTTTTAACTTCTGTCTCTTGCCACCCATCAGGGTTTAGTCTTCAGCACAGACGATAGAAACAAGAGAGTAAAACCTGTAATGTAAGCAGGCTGAGGAATGTAAATGTTTAAAGACCTGGTTAGTCACCTGTCTCCACCGTGTCTTTTCCCCCCACTTCGTTTACAATGCATCCCAGATCTGTGCTCATGAAAACAAACCTTCACCAGTGAAATGCACCACAGCCATATTGATACAATACACTGGAGTCTCTTGCACAGGCCTAATTTAAAAAAGAAAGCTAGAAAGGCAGGATCAGGACTGATAGTCTCTATGGTCAGGATACATTTTTGCTCTATGTTATGTATTAAAAAAACAAAACAAAACAAAAAAAAACAACCTGGCAGTATATATTTCTAAATGGCCATTTGCTGCCACCTAGTGGTCTTTGCTGCTTACTGCAAAAGATAAAAAGTAGTTCTGCAGTACAACGATGCCATGTAGTTATTTTATTAACTCAATAAGTGACAGACATTACATAGTAAAGAGACTCAAAACCCTCACATTAAACATGTTTATATCCAAATGCCATCTGGTTTTCCATTAGGGACAACATTCTTCTTACAACACCAGAAAAAGACATTAAAGTCTGCTGTATAATGACACCCCCCCACCACCTTTTAATTACATGCAGAGCTTGACAAAAGCCTTCCTTCTCCAAACTGACACTTCACAGACAACTTGTCAGCCCCCTCATGTGCCTAACACTTCATGTTTGTCTCACAGCTGACTTAACATGGTTCCCTCTTAAACAAACATTCAATATTTCCTGGGCTGCTGGATGAAGAAGGTCCGGGGTGAGTGGGGCTTCTCCAGTGCAGGGTGCACCTTGCTGTGCCTCACACTCACTGGTGTCTCAGGAAAGTCATGGCTCAGCTAAAAAGATGTCAGGCAAGAGTTTTATTATGCACAAGGCTCTGTGGCCTAAGAAGCAGTGCAACTAATTGAATATGTTCAGTGAAGATGAAATGCAGAGTAATAAGGATTTCGGTTACCTTGTCCAGGGTTCCTGTCAGAAGTATGGCAACGTGCTGCATCCTGTTGGGGGTGCCAAGTGACCTGCTGCAAGATCACAGGTTTCAAATACAAGGGTTTACACTTAAAATCCATATATAGGTTGTAATTGCGGGCTGTAGGCCTACCTCAGTTTATCTGACTTCTTGGTCTCCTTCTCTTGAGTGCCATGGGTCCCACTCTCTTCCAGGCTTTTCTTAGTCACCCGTTTACCACCAGCCTTTACTACTGACCCAGAAAAGAAAACAGTGTAATTGATGTTACCTGAAAAATCTGCAGTATAAAGTAGTTTGCTGTATATTTTGTTAAAGATTAGTATGAATGTAAAAAGGGTCCCGACCCCTTTCTGGAAACAAAAGCTTAAACAAAATCCTCTGCAATCTTCACCCCTTCATTTACAACAACAAAGCTGGAAAATATTGGATTGAGAAACTCCAGTAGTGACTATTTTTTTGCAGTTTTACTGCTTTTGTTGTTAAAAATACTGCAGCTCATTTGCTCAGTGTTGACTAAAGTACAAGCCCAGAGACTGGCTTATACTGTGGGTCTCCACCTGTGGCTGAGGGACAAGTCTGAGATAGGAAAGTAAGAAAATAAGGAGAAATTATGTTACATAAAACCATCTTTTTCTCAGACCTGTAGTTTGGCTCTTGCTTATAAAATACCAGGCTTTTACCTCTTCAGGTAAAAAAAAAATCTTAATCTAAAACACCCTGAGGAGGAGGGTTTCTCAGTAGACTGTAACATTTTAAAGCAAAAAGGTTAGGCTTTGTTAACTTTAAGACTACACGTACAAACGAGCATGATCCTGCACATTAGCGTGCACTGATGCACAGATATAGACACTAATAGTTAACCAACAGTGACCCATGACGAACACATTTGCACGACAGGATTTTGCATGCAGTAAACCAAAGATCTGAGTGTCGAGGTAGTGGGATGTTACTTCCACTGGGCCAACAGGCCTCATTTTAAAAAAAAGCTAGAAGAGGTGCAAACGCTTAATGAAAGTAACATTGTCACCGCAATCAGAAACATCAGCTCGATTATAACGCAACAACCCGTCAAATCATGACAAAACGTCAGGAAAACACTTAGTGAAAGGCTGAAGAAGAGTTTACACGGGCCTCTGCGTCTGCTACGCGTTCACCTAATGTTGCATAATAACAATCAGCAGCTGAAGATCCGTGGGAGCAACAGTTTACCTGCAGGACGGTGGCCAGCTTTCAGCAAAGGACTCGCTTTCACCCCGCGTTTTGTCAGCGGCTGCACCATTTTCTAAAACTTTTCGGAGAAATGCAAAGAATGCACAAAAAACAAACCAAAAGCCCCTTTCAACGCCCACTCCGTTGTTTTTATGCTCCAATCATAGATGACGCCCCGAGAGGCTACAGGAAGTCTGCGGCCACAGAAACGCCCATTTGAATTGTTCGCTCTATAAACAGGTACTGAAGTGAAACCAGCTGCAGTGGCTCACATAGGACGTTTTGTATTTGTTATGCAGGCTACAACTCGTTATGTTTCTGTTTTTGATTCTTTTGAATATCCTACTGTTATGTCGTCTTATTTTGAAAATACTGGCAAATATTAATTATATTGTGTTGGGCCAAATGTTCCTAAACTCCCTGACACAGTCAGTGCAACTTAAATGAATACAATGCAAACCTTCTTGAGACATGGGCTTATTAAAGCAGGCTGACAGTGCAATCAAACTTGTTTTAAAAAAACAGTATATATAGTAGCCTAGGCTGCACGTTATTCAGCAAATAAATTAAAATAAAATGATTTTCTCTTAATGGAAATATGTGATCTCAATGTACAGGAAGCCGATAGACCTTTTCCACAGAAGACACTTTGGCAAGTCATAACTACAAAAGCACAGGTGTGCACTTAAGGCACCTGAGCCTTAGTTGACAACATTTGTTTCACCTGTGCTGTAATAAACAGCTGTTACTGATGACTCTGTTCATGTCTCAACAAGCCAAGAAGGAGCTGCTGGGGTTTTTAACATTTTCCATTTCCTTCACTGAGATGGATGAAGAAACTCTACACTTTAACATTATGCCATGAGAACAATATATAATTCTAATGGTTCTAATGGGCCTTGCAAATTTATCTGACATATTCAGTTATTGCTGATATATCTGAAAGTGAGATTGGGTGGAGCTTTGCTTAGTGTTTACCGAGGTCACAATACTAAATTTTTCTTTTTTAAAAGACAAAAAAAAAAAAAAAATCACAAAGTTGTAAATTATTATGAACAAAAACAATTCAGGGAGATGACAGTCAAACGCAGGCTGTGCACACCTACACCTTGATCTAATCAGTCAAATTAAATCAAAACAGCTGAGTTTGAAACCATCCGTGTCAATCCAAGTCATCGCTGGTGGCTTACAGGTTCACTTCAGCAGTTACAAATAATAACCCGGGCGTGAAAGGTGTGCCACAGCCGGTGGGCAGCTCCACGGGATGTCATTTAGCTGCTCACTGACTCCTCTATAGTTCGGAGCTGAGTTTAACTGAACATTACAGCACTGACAGCAGCGCTGTGATGCTTTACAGAGAAGTTGCCTCCGGTGTTCTCACTGCCTGTGCAGGAAGATGAACAGTATGTGTGTACAAACACAGAGTTATGGCCACCAACAACAGAGGTGCAATAAGACATACAAACAACTTGGAGTTTCCTCAGAGCTTCAGGGTAACTGTTCGTCAACTGGTTCGTCACAATTTCACTCAATCTGTTTGGGGATAGAAATCACCAAATGTACATCAGCTGCCTTAAGGCAGCCTGATCTTATTACCTAATGTCTTGGAAAATATCCCTGAGGCAAAAATCTAGTTTCAAGACCATCATTAGTCCAGTTTGATTATAAACTTTAAATGTTATTAAACTGATATGTTTAATCACACTGTAATAATTTAGTAGGCTATAGAAAAACTGTGCATGGGAAATGAGAGGCTCATACAGGAGGGAAACAGCAGTCCATTAAGTTCCTCAGGGTCCCCTAGCAGGTTAAACCCAACCACAGGCAATCAAACTGTATTAAAACACAAGAAAAGATTGAAGCAATTCTCATTCACTTACAGTGTTATGTCTTCGAACACCTGTAGGTGGAAGGGAGAATGTTTAAACGTGCTAATGAGTGCTTTATCATCTTCATCCAAAGAACAAATGATAAGCACAGGCTTAGTTACTGTCAGCGGGGACTCAGTGCTCTGCAGCAGTGAACACTGTAATAACCTGTTTTATCAGAAGAACAGCTGCTGAGAAGTTTGATTTCTTCCTTAGATCTCTTCATGTTCACTCTTTTGTCTGCACAGAAAACGACAGCCAGTTAAAAAAGTGTAAAGACGTTTGCACTGTACCCATGAAAAGATGAATTACACAGTTTAAAAAACAAAACTGACCTTTTATTATTTAACATGTTTGTGTTATGTTGCCACCTTTGTCCACATATTTCTTCATATATTTATATATCTAAGATTTAACATGGCACAAGTTTACTTTTTTAACCAGTGCTAATGAGTGTAAACCAGGTAACATGTTTTCTTCTGTATGTACAATAAAATTAAAGAAATGTACAAGACTCCATGGCATTACACAACTTCAACAGTACATACAGATACAATTTGATCCCTCTGTATAATCTAACGTAAGTTTTCTAGTTTCTATTTTTGTTTTCTTTTTTTTTTACAGATATGAGTTCATGATCCATTTTGGCTTCAGCACCTACAGATTCCCCATCTTGACTCGTACCGTGGACCTTCGCTCACATGACTCACACCTCGCTCACACCTTTCACCATGCTATCACAGCTAAGCTCATAAAAAAATTAACATCTAGACAGAGCAGGGCGCACGTCTTCTTACGGTAGTGTCCAGTTTTGTTCTTCAACAGCATGATTCCATCTTCTTCTACTAAATAAAAAAATAATTTAAAAAGACATTCCTCAGCTTCCTTCTTTGGCACACATCCCAGGTTTCCATCTGCCATCTCACTTCTCCCTCCATACACACATTCACTTTAAAACAAACACGCTTATAAAGCCAAGTTCAAGGTAAAGACGATTAGTTCTTGTGTGCTCTTCTCGTCTGCTGCGGGGCGGCTATGCCCTCTCTCACACCGTGAAATGAGAACCAGGGATCAAAGAGGTTCTTGATCGTAACACAGGTATTTGTGCAGACCTATACCCAAGAGTCAGGAGAGCCGGGATACTGCTCTGCCCTGTAGGAAGGCCTCCGTGTGCTAGCGTAAAAGTCCACGTAATTGGTGGTGGATTTCAGTCCATGAGGCTGGGAGTTGTAGTCAACAGTAGGTGGGTAGGTGATGACCTCCTCCAGGTAGGGGTCATCGTACCCGTGAGGACGCTGCAGGTACATCCTGTATGTATCATAGTTCCTCCTGCCCGGCTCCTCTGTATAATACATGGGCTGCAAAAGAGAGAGATAGGCTGTGATGAACTGGTTTTCAGTGGCACCGTATTAAGACAGTGGCAAGTAGCTAACCTTACTCAAGTACTGTACAAAGTTACACCATGTCTGCACACAAGACACAGTGTGAGCAAAAACACAAGGTGTTCAGGCACAGGCCTGAGCTGTAGGTCGCTTGTGTTTTGGAAGCACTCGGAGCCCAACACGCACAATCACTATGGTTATGTGCATATAATGCAGGAAAACAGACTTCTGGTCGAGTAGAAAAACAAACTTCAGTTTACTGGCACTTTTCAGCAATTCAGTTTATTTACATCTGTGTAACCAACTTTATGGTGGTTTTCATTGTTAGTGGTGAAGGACACCTTTCTCACATGGGATTCAAGTTGCCTATACATGCAGGAGGAACTCATGGGAAAGAATGCAGGTATAACAGTTTCTGAGCCTCAGTGTTTCGGGGGGAGAGTAATAGAGAGCTGGGTTCATTTGATGCTAATGCAGACTAAATATCCCCCACTGCTGCTGCTGCTGCTGCTTTATGGCTGTATGTCTCCGACACCAATCTTCTACTTCCTGACATTAAAATCCAACAATGTATACTGACATCAAGGTGCAGCAAAACACACTTCAGTATGGTATTAATCACATTCTAACCCACTAATGGTCACTAATGCAAAGAAAACTGTTTCAAGGTAAATGACAGAAATTCAGAAAATAGATTTCTTTGAAATAAATGGTGTAATGACTTCACCCATTAACTGGTTTGAATGTGATGAGATGAAGGACACAAGAGAACTCTCACTTTGTCTCCCTCCTCTCCTCCCTCCTGCCACCTCCTCACTGTGCCCATTATCTGAATGGGCTCACATGGATGTGTACCACAGTGACAAGCGCCTGAGATGCACCCGGACCATCCCAGTTCCCAGCAGTCACATTTGATATCGCTCAGACAATAGCTGATGTGCGGGGTGTTTCCCAGCATCGCCATTTATCCGCAGTGGAATACGTGTCAGTCTCTCTGTATTAGTGAAGCGGGGTGGAAAAGCTGGTCGTCCTCGCCCGACTCATACAGCACAGAAGAGGGTCTTGTACCAAATACTATCAAACTAGAAGAAATCAGTCATTTCCTAGGATGTGGTCACACCTACTGTTTTCTCAGTCTCAACAATGAAGCCGAGCAGGGCTGAAATGATTAACGTGTGCTGCAAACTGAACACCTTTGGGCTTTGGAGTGTGTGTCAGACTAAACAATCTGAAGACATCACCTTGATAATGATAATGAATGCTAAGTGATAATCACCAAGTTAACTGACAGTAACTAATTGTTAATTGCAGCCTCGGTGAGAAGATTTACTTGGTTGGTTTTTCTCTTTGGTTTTGATACATTTACACCCCCACTGATATTGCAACACAAATGAGTTTCTGACTTGGCACAACCAGACCTTTCCATCAACAGCTGAACGATGTCAAAAAGCTTTACACGTAACTGGGCAATTTGCAGCGCTGTACACTACATTTCCTGAATGTGTGTTACTGTATGTTGTATGTGATTAAAGTCATGATGTTGTTTGTCATTTGTAACCACTGTAGAACAAAAAAAAATCCAGCTGCAGTGGTTGAAAACCACAGATTTGAACCAAATGAGTAAAAAAAAACAAAGGATAGTGTAAAATCGATATGTACCTCATAAACCAATCTTTGGCAAGCTTTATGTTACTTCTCGCTGCACGTGTGTGTGTATGTACAAACATGCCTCCTTCTTAATGATGCAGGTCCAGGAAAAACACTGTGCACAGTACAGAGATGCAGGAGCAAACAGTGCTAGTGTTAGCAGCTACTTTCAGAGTACGTCAGCTGATAACTCCACCTGGTTGGGTTGAAGTCAATAATTGGATTTAAGTGGGGAAAAAAAAACATTCCAGCTTTTATTTAAATTATGGCTATATTCACCTGTGTTCTTCTGGGCTCCTCTCTTGTAGGTGAGTAGTAATATGAAGTCGTCTTTCCAGACCCTAGAAAAAAGGAAGAATAAAAAGACAGTTGCTGTACATCAAATCTGTGCATGTGTGTTTAGACAGAGCAGTACCAAGACGTGCTATGCTGTGCTGGAGAGACATGAAACCAAAGAACACAGTAGAGTTGGCCACCGCTGTTCTGTTGTTTACATAGCCCATGGGCTGGGCACATTCTTTGGCATTCTATCCAACCAGTGGAATCCTAAAACTCAATTTCTACATTCCCATGTAATACATGAGGTGTTGAGGCTGCGGCTCATTTTGTTTACTTCACTCCCCCTCCTCGCTCCCGCCAACCATTGTAGGCTGGCTAGAGCTCTCATGTGGCTGTAGTACGTCTGGGTGCTCGCTCGCTGCCCCTGCGTGCGTGCTGTGACTCTGGCCCGCTAACAATTGCACTATTGTACTGTGTGTTCATCACTGGCTGGCTGGTCCAGTTCACTGCTGTGCAGACCATACTCAGCACAAAAAAACAGCCCTGAAGTGTGGTGAAATAAACCGACTGACTGTCTCGTCTCGGTGTTGGCAGGCTTTGGTGGAGATGATAAGAAAGAGCTGTCTTGGCAGGGACAGAAGACTGGCCATGGGATCTGCCGGGAGCATTAGGAGGGATTAAACAGATAACGCCTTGCATAGAAAGCACCAGTGGGCAGCCTACAGTCTGCAGATAATGGACATAGTCTCAGTTAATTTTTTAATGAGTACTGCTTTCAGATGTGTACAGTGAAGAGTACCTGTATACTGTTTTTTATGCACACTGCTGTCCCCTTGGTAATTATAAAATTGCATAGTTGACTGTGCTCTTGGATAATCTCTGCTATTGTCTCTATGCTCTTTGATGCCCAGTATCGCAGGAGATGATGTGGCACTGGCAGCTGTGGAAAAACAAAACAAAACAAAACACAATTCAGCATCAAATCCGAGATTTTTCTGTTTCGCTGGCAGTGTCCATTTTCATCTGGCAGGGCCTGAACCTACCAGGGTGGTTGACTGGGGACATTTGAATGATGCTGGTGGGAAGGGTGGGTTGAGACTTGAACCTGTCGCGTTCAAGTGTTGACACAGGAGTGAGGAAATGGTTTTGGTTCCATCCATCCTGTTTGGAAAGCACATGGAGGAAAAGTGGTAGTTTGAATAGCCAGAACAGTACTGGGTGTTGTAAAGCTCTGGTGATCCAAAAAATGGCACAGAGGGAAAAGATTAATCATTGTGCGGAGAAGACATTAGACTGGTGACTGATGGCATCATCACAGACCATCAATCCTAGTGTCCTTACTTTTTTATAGATGGTACGCAGATCCCGGTACTGCCACAGTGTGTTCAGCACCTGAGCAGCTGCCTTAACCACCTTCATAGAGTACCTGGAAAACAAACAAAAACAAACATATAAACAGTACTTCTGAATCACTTTAACCTAATTTTACATTCCACTGTACATATTGCAGGATAGTATGACCGATGGAAGAGAGTACCCTCTGTGTATTTTAACCTGGAACATTAAATAACTAATATAGAGCAGGCTAGAAATAGCTGCTGCCATCATTCCACAGGGACATTATTTCCAGGCACACAAAACCACCTTCCCCGTGTCTATGGCTTCTCCTCCTCCAAGCGTTTAAATGCATGTGTATGTGTGAAAAAAAAGGAATCCAGGGATGACATGTTTCAGAGTCAGTGTGGATCAACACATTTGACAGATTTGAAGGCTCTGCTTCAAGAGATGAGTGAGTGACAGACCTGCAGATAAACGCTGGGATGACAGTATCGCAGAGATTGTCACATCTGTCCACCATTTCTACAGTGAAAGCAGTTCTTCGTGCAGAACCTGCTTATGTTGCAGTTGCACCCAGTGCGACCTTTGAAAAAAGTCAGTCGCACCTTAAATAAATTTGGTTGCAAAATGTGACTGATCACTTGCACTCTGGAGCCCTGCCCTTGCTAAAAGTATCTGGACAATTATGTGCTGCTGTGGCACACCTGTCTCCTCTGCCCTTGGTGATGTTGACCAGCTTCTCGATGCCACCTGTGTCGGCCAAGGCCTTCGCGTTCTCCATGTTTTTGCTGGTGACCTCGTGCAGGGTGCAACAGATGGCTGCCACGGTCTCATCTGACAGCAAGGTGGTGTTTCCCCCAGGAAGACGGTTGACCAGGTCCCTCATCGCATACTTCCCTGAGAGGGAGGAAGGAAGAAGAGAGATGTGGCCAATATGTTATGACATACTGAGCACCAGGGGTGAACAATACAATATTCATTTTGCTTGAGATATCCAGTTTTCCTGATTGACATTTCATTATCATTGCAAGGACGACTGGAGTGTGTGCAACCACGAGTTAACAATAGTATTTTACTTCTGGCAAAATCATAAAAGTGGTGTTCACTTGTGGAGATTATCTTGCTGAACAAAATGGGTAAGTGTCATAAACCGGTGCTTGTCACAGAGCTTATTTCTTGCAATAATCCAAAAGCCTGTGGAAAACCTCAGTGGTTTTTTGTCGAGGGGCAATGCTAACTTTCAGGGTGGCCTAAAAAATGTGTCATCCCTACGGCACTCTATTGTTCATTAGTATAACTCAGATACATGCTATCACACCAGTTTCTCAAGGCTCCCTTAAAACTTCATGCCTTACTTTGAGCAGGGGCTCTAACAGAACAAAGGTACTCAGAATATGGCTTATTATTTTAAGCAGCCCAGCTTAATCCATTACAGCCTAGATGTTTGGCAGTGTGACTCCAAACCTATGAGCTCCTTGTTCCTGACATCCAGCGCCATGTTTCTCAGAGCAGTGGCAACTGAACACACCACCCTGTCATTATCCATTCGCAGTAGCTCCACTAGGATGGGCAGTCCTTTCTCCTTCCGCACTGCTGCACGGATATATGCTGCAAACTGTACACACAAACACACGCCCACAGAAAGCATTAAAACTTAAAAAGGGTCTAGACACCACACTCTTAAAAACGATGGTCCTGAGATGTGCATTTTAGCATGTGTGACTTCAAGTGTAAAACTGATGTCTGCCTTCACCGCCACAGAGGAAGTGAGCCGTTAAATCCTTTTTAACCAGTTGAATGGATGCTTTGTCTCCGGAGACATCAGATTTAACAGTGTATATTAAATTAAAAAAGGAATGTGTATATTTTGTGTGCTCACAAACACACATTCATTGCTACTGTACCTTCCAGTTTCCAGCTGAGAGGTTCTGAAGGGACCCAGCGGCGCCCTCCAATGTTGCAGGATTTGAGCTCTCAGCCAGCAGTGTCAAGTAAGGCTTAACCACGGCAGGGTGCCACAGCATCTCTGCCCCCTTGGGAGACTTGGAGAAGCCAGGGATGGGTCCCACACCGTCCCACTGAACAAAGAGCCACAGCATGTAGCTGAGTACAGGTTCTGATGTGGTCTTTTTTTGTCAGAACTTTTCAGAAGGCTGTGACTACGTATACACAGTGTGCCACACGTTTTCAGTGTGTGGTCCACACTATTTTCAAAAGTGTCTTAAATCTTCCTAATAAAAAAATCATTTAATGTGACATAAACATGCAAAATGCAAACTTTTCACCAATTTCTATTTTGCTCTGAGCCTTTATTGACAAGTGCCACACTCACTATGTCTTCCTGCAAGCTCTTTTTTTTCTTCTTTTTCTTCCTTGCCCAGCAGCTGGACTCCACCTGTTTACTGGGCGACTCGCTGCCCAGTAAGCCATCCACCTCCTGTCCCCCAGTCAGCCGGGATGGTGGCATCTCCAGTTCCAGACGATACGACAGGTTCCTTAGAGTGCAAACACAGTTCTCCACAATCTGATGGCAGTTGGGGAGAAGAAAGTGGTTTGGGAGGGTGGTCCTAGCAGCGGCTTTCTAAATCACCATGACAAAAGCTAAAATACAATAAACTTTGTACTCCAGTACCTACTGCCAGTATGGAGTACACAGGCCTACTTTTCACTGTATTACTATTGCTGTATTACTGTATTAGTTACGGAACCCAAAGGTGTCTAATTACAAAGAACATCAGAACCAGAGCCAATGGCTTTATTTACACAATGTTTGAGCTCTGTAAAGGCTTTGCCACACAGACTGTCAGTGAGCATATATATCTGGCAAATACCCGGGTTCTCATTATAGATGAGTCTTAAGTCTTTTACAGTGGGCAGATGCATGTCTGGGAGATGTGGTTTAATTTCTACAGCTACTATGGAACAGTGTTAATACACTCTATACCATAAACAATGCATACACACAAAAAACACATGTACGCCTTTTCCTGCACATAAACTTGGATGTTAAGTCTGTGTAGATTCATGACTACAACTCACTAAGACACACAGTGAGCGTACGCATTGTTTTCATCAGATTTATAAAGATGCACGTACACCCAGTTATGTTTAATAAATCTCAACTGTCGTGGAAGTGGGTGCATGTGCAGGGCTTCTTTTCCACTCCCACTTTTAGCCATAAATAGAGGTAAACATGCCCTTAGTCAACCATTTGCATGCCCCTCTGCTCTGAACTGACAGTACTGGTAGCCTGCAGGTCAGCTTTTCTTCTGTTCATGATCCCTCAAATGAGATCACCAAACAAACCATACGTTCTTTTCTCCACCTCTCCAAACAGTCTCAATATTACAATCAGTCAAATCGCACTTCTTTTTCGGCGTTGCTTTCATCCTCACGTCTAATAACGTGTAGCTCAAGCAATGTTTTTCTATGCAAACGACATAAAGAGCATATCTACATCTATTTATGGCTAAAAGTGGAAGCGCAAAAGAAAACCTGTATGTGTGTCAGATTCCACAACAGTTAAGGTTTATAAAACATAACCAGGCACACGTGTGTTCTTTATAAATCTGACTAAAACGATGCATACGCTCACCGTCTGTCTCAGTGCATTGTCATGAATCTACATAAAGTTTTCTGCATCTGGCCCCAGGTCAGTGAGCATCTACAGCATTCTGAACGTCCACCACTGTGCAGGTAAGGGTTGTGCTTTGGGTGACAGAGCACATGAAAGAGTTGCTGCCAGCTGCTGTGACGGTAATTTAAACAGAGGCAATAAAAAGATTCAGACGGGGTAAGTAGAATTTTTCCCCAGAGCCTCTTATCGTGTAGCAGCATGTCTTCCTCTTGGCTAGATGTGTGTGTGTCTGTATCTGTGTGTGTGTGTGTGTGTGTGTGTGTGGGTGCCTTAGTGTGTACCTTGCTGTCAAAGTCAGAGGTGTTTACACAGGCTTTGATGACGTACAGCAGGGAGTCAACCAGGCCCTCACAAGTGCGCATCTGTTTTCTGGCATCCTCACCAGCTGAACTCAGGTTCCTTTTAAAAGATGCAAACACACACACACACACACACACACACACACACAAATTAGGCCTTTCAAATTGGGCTCTGCTCAGCAAACAAATGTGCCTATGCAGACAAACAAAATAACAGCTGCGTGTCCCACTTGAATGTGAGTTCTGCCATCCCCATACACGATCAATAACGTATCAAGTGTATGTGTGCGATCACTTTTTACTGACTAATAAACGTTATGTATGCATATATGTGTGCAAAGAGATACAGGCAGACACCCACTAACACTCACACTCAGTTCAACCGGCTGTCACCAGTTAAAGGCTGAGCTCTACATGCAGCACAGTGTCTTCAAAAGAAGCAGCCCGGGAGAGAAGCTGAGATCATTACATCATCTCTGACTGTAATTGCCTATGAAATGATGACGGCTTCGAAACAGAAACAAGAAAGGTCAAGATTCTTGCTATCAGACTAAAACATGCCCATTCAAACACCAATTTTAATGTCATTTTTTTCTGATGTTGGATATTAAAGCGACTACATAGAGCAAAATACCCCAATTTCTGATACTGTTTGCTATGTAAATGTGTTTTCTCTTAACACACTAAAAAAAAAACTTTGGCTTTTTTGTTTGTGGTGGGTCACTCTGGTAAGCAAAGACAACATTATTGTGGCTATTTTACAGAGGAGCCACAGGATGAGCTCATTCCTTTTTAGATGTAATAGCGTAACATGTCCACAGTGGGGTGCTAGTGCCAAGTGTGTTCATCAGGTGGTTCACCTCAGACAGCCTGTGGTGTTCCTCAGCACCAAGGAGGAGTGAAACTTCAGCTTGTGGTCGTCATCGAAGGTGGAGCTGCTCCATCCAGAGTGAGGGATGATCACAGTGTTGGTCAGAGTCGTTAAGGCGTCCCGAATGATTGTCATCTTGACGGCATCGCACGACGACAGGTTCCACAGCACACCTGTGGAGACCCCCGCACGCAAACACAGGCATTTAGAAGCAGGCACTCAAACTTCCAGTCATGTCAGCTGCCATGTGCAGTTAGGGTAGTTCCCAGCGACTTGTGCTTTTAATAGCTCAGTTTGTGACAGCAGGCCCATGGGAAAAAAACTATACATACAAACAAGCACAGACAGACGAGTGAACGACGAGTCAGAAATGAAAGCACCGAGGCATTAGACATTTAAGGGGAAATTTAAAAAAAAAAGGACAAGGCAGGGATCCATATGGCATGGGCTCTGCCATTTGAAATGAAATATAAGTAATATAAAATCTTTAGAAATTAGGCCTGCATTTCACTCAGTTAAAATATACTTTAGGTAACCACTGATAATCATGCACAGGCCTGGCAGTCTTTGATGCTGCATCTGTCAGGGATTATCTGTCATGTAGCATGTTCTTCTAATTAGATGGCTGTTGGTTTACAGTAAGGCACAGGCTGACGTCTGCTGGCTACCAGTAACCTTGCAGGAGGCCACTTCTGCTTCTACTGCAATCTACTGAAAAGACATAGGATTTCATACATGGGTGATGCTCAAAAATACCACCACAACAAAACATTAAAGTGCAAGTACAGTATGTGTGTTTGTAACCCAACTGCTTCATGATTTATGCATGATGTTTTGCTCTTGTTTTGGCTCTTTAACTCTAGCCTTGGCTTGTAAATGCAGAACGCACTACATGACATACAGGACAGGCTATTACACTGAACTCAGCCTGTATTTGTGTATGTATTTTGTATACAAGAACACCTCAGTTGGAGGTCAAAAGCAATTATTAGCTTTTTCAACCTCACTGTTTATTTTCTCTCAACACGCTGTTCCTTCTCTCTCGTTAACTGAACCAATGAAGGCAATAATATGTCTATAATATGGCCCAGGAGCCCAATTCAGACACACTGATGGCAAGAAGCTATACAGACAGATAGGTATATGCCTGGCAAACAATGTCTCTGCCTGTTATATAATCAGAAAATGTTTTAAACTTACCACTGCATTATTAGCACTAGAGTAAAGTGCTTTGAAACCCATTTGAATCCTTAAGCGAACTCTCATTATTTCATATGCTTTGACAGAATATCAAGGCACAGCTGAGAATTAGGTGATTGTTGGCTCTTGAATGTTAAAATGCAGCTTTGCTAGCAGTGTGGGGCTGCATGCCGAAACCCTGGTATCAGGTGATCTAGCATCTCTGCTCTACCCAGGCAGTGGGATACATTTCAATCCAATCCATCCGTGGTTATCGACCTCTGTTGCTCACGCCAGCACATTCAGATTTGCGTTTGCCTTTCTCACATAATTCTCAGAACTGCCATGAAATATAATGCAGTGATAAGGTTAACTCTCATGTCTGCTGACCAACTTTCCTGGTTCTTTTAACTCTACAGCAGCAGCAGCCCCCCTCCACACACACACACACACTAATGTCAGTTTGTAGAAATGAAACATTCTCCGACATTCTCCGTGAGTTTTCAATCTGGCTCTGTGGCATGCCACAGATAGGCCAGTTCACTGAGGTGTGGCCGACAACGTTGTCAGTGACACCAGCAGCAGTACCCATAAGTCATATCTGGCAGATGTAGAAGACCTGTGTGTGTGTGTGTGTGAGTGTGTATAAACAGTCCTAAACCTTGTTCTCTGCTCAGTGGCATGTTCTCAGGTGTCTTGGCCTGGTTCTGTAACACTGCTGTGACACCCAGGCACAGCTAAACTCAAGAGCTCCAGGTGGGAGGAAGAGAGGCTCCGAGAGATGGTGAAAAAATATAAATGTCTCCAACAGCTGAAGCACTGATCCAAAAACTAACTCAACTGAAAACTAGATGGACATTTGTTTTTACACGTGGCAGCACAGCCGCGACAGGTTCTGGGGCTTTGATGCATTAACTGGCCAGGAGGGATTGCTATTTGTTTGACTATAGTCTGATGGCCCTGACACCATGAACCAATAGTCAGATGGGCGACAGGACATTGGGCAATCATTGACTGTCTGTGGTTGAAAGTGGCCCATTGAGTTTGTAGTGTGTCTGGCACCACTGGTCTTTCTTTGGCTAGCAAAGCTAGGTTTTGTTCATAGCAGAGCTACACTGCCATGCTTCTAGTCTTTGTGTTAAGTGAGACTAAACACATATCAGATCTACACCTTCTCTACACAGAAATTAGTCAAGTGACTGGATCCCAAAATGTTTGACGACTCCTTTGACCGTTACAGTCTCTTAAATCACAGGTCGGCATGTGATCAACTTTGTCAGGTGAAGCAATAACTGCATGAGCATTTAATCGGTGAAAAGCTGCTGATCATCCAGAAACGGCCTGGTTTATTAACCTTTCCATTTTTGGAAGTTGAACTGGAAACGTGTCAATGTTGCATCGACTAAACCTCAGACAAACAGTTTGCTGTGTACTCCAGAGGTTAGGGGGCGTTTCTCATTTTCTCCCTCACGCAGTTGAAGTCGGTGCATTGCTGCTATATCTGGATTTATTTTTGGATCGAATTAAGTTTTTCATTTTTCAGTTGATCACATCTTTACCTCCACCTCCTTCACTCTCCACCATAACAAACACAGCATTTGATGCCATCACTCTATTCTGGATTTCTGTGTAAACTGGAAGTACTTCAGCTTGTTCAAAGTAGTGTTAGTGTTACAAATGAGTAAATGGAGTACCACATATCAGTTCACCAGCTTCTGATGTGCTGATTGCATTCAATAGCATCTTGTATCTGGAGCAAAATTCTAAAAAAACCATCATCTTTACTGTTTTTAGTTACATTTCACTGCTTTACACAGTGTAGATCTGCAGGTTTTAATTTCAGAGTCTGGTGTTAAGGTGCTGCTGACTGAGGAATTTAGCATGTTATCAAATGCCATCACCTCTCTGAAAATACCACTATACTCACTGCAACTCGAAATCTGCACACCAAAATAAATATGATTAGAAAAATGAGCCAGCTAAAGTACAACTATTGTGAAGTTATAAGTGATATTAAAACAGGAAGGGTACAAATTTATATGCAACTAGAGATAAGGAGTTTGTAAGTTCATCACGGAACCAAACAAGATCCAGAGATCAGTCTTTTCTAGCATCAGAAAAGGAGTGTAGCAGAAGTGGTGAGTACAGGCCGGCCACATCTGTGATCTCCTAAATGACTATTGAATGAATGACTATTATTGTTTTTCTGTAAAAACAAAGAATTATCTTTAAATAAACTCAGTGGAACTACACAGTAGCTTAGTTTGCCAAAGTATAGCCAAGATAAGAGAAGCTAGATAACATCTAACACAGGACAGACTGCCTGTGAGTGCCAGTTTCAGGAGTTAATGACAGTACTGTACTGTTGGCTTGGCCTTTTAACCTTAAGGGCTGATGGAAGACAGAACAATAACCACAACAGCTGCTACAAGATGAGGCAGGTAAGGGAGCTAAGACCCCATACAGCATGCCCTCGACATGACCCCCTAACCTGAAGCAGCTAGCCATTAATGGAGTGTAGCCGACAGCCAGACCTCACTAGTGGAGTCGAGAAGGAGCCACAGACACAACGGGAACCTCAGTGACCTGACAACTGGTTGCCTGCTTAACTACCTTCAACAACACTGCTTGACAAGCTGTTATGATTCAAACTGCTAGTACTGCCGAAAACAGCGCTTATATAAGTAGAACAGAGCTGCGGGTGAGTGAATGGTTTCCGTCTGCTCCACTTAAAGCTGTGTTGTGGGATGCCCTTGTCATCCACCTGAAAGCTCTTCATGTGGATTGTTCTCATCAGCTGTAATTAACCTGATGTGAGGCAGCAGTACTGACCTTTCCTAATTGCTCCCCATCCCGGGGCCTATACTACCAATTAGCAACAGCAGCCTCCCTGACTAATGGATGAAAGAAAGAAAAAAAAAAAACGAACTCACATTAAAGCTGCTCACTCTGACTGGGCAACACATGTCTGCACAATGTTGAATGATGGGAATGAAGAGAGACATTTCTGAGGTTTTTAGCCATAAAAAGTGATTGTGCTTCAATTTAAGCACCAGTATGAGCAGAGACAAATTATGCTCTTTTAAAATGTTGATTATTTTCACCTCTGCTATGTGGTAAGCAACGGAAACAGACACTTAACTGAAACAAGAAACTAAAGCCAGTCTCTTCCCAGACGATAAAGTGAGGCTCCAGGTGTATTGTTTTTCCTCAGGACCACTGGACTGTAACCTAAGACCATGTTAGAGCGGGGGCTGAAGCCGACCGCAAACAGCTAAGTCAGCCACCTGGGAGCCAAATGTCTTGGCTCACTTATTTCTGTTGTGCTCCACCCTGATCCAAAACAACTGGGATTTACACCTTGTTTGTGGACAAACACAGAGACGACTGAGCCACACACCGTCTAACGCAGAGAGGAGGAGACCGACATGCAGGCCGTCAGGAACCGTTTTCAGCCAGTGAAGGAGCTACAGTCAATCTCTCAGCAGGGTAGGCAGTAAAAGAAAGCAATGGAAATGTGGTTTCATTTCTTTGCATAGATCATATGCAGCAGTAACAACAGAAAGGAAAAGCTTCTGTGACTCAGTTACTAAGACATTCATAATCTGAGGACCGACCACGGTAAGCAGCCAGTTTAACTGTTTAGTCAGAATATCTTAATTCACACCGATCCTATAAGAGCAATAAAGTATTACTAACCACTATATGCAAGGGCAGACAAATTCAGAGACCACTTTAAAAGGCATGAGCAGCCTAACCAACCCACTACTGTCACAGTCTCTGGTCTGTCAGGTTAATAATTCATCATATCTTGCACAAGCTGTGTCATGCTCAACCATACGATGGATCTCTGATGTGGGCCCACGAAGCAGTCGACAAGGGGGTAAATAACTGTAGTGATAAGACTACTACTATTACATATAATAATTACATATTGATCTAAATGTTTTTTTCTCTCTTTCTTTTGAGTTATTTAAATAATTACAAATTATAAATTGTGTTTTGATGCTTTGATAACATTGTTAATAGAAATTTTCATGCCCTTTGAACTGAACTGAACTGAACCGTTTAAACTACTAGCCGATCAATTATTCAATCAACCAAAATTTAGAAGACAATTCTGGCAATTGATGACTCATTTAAGTCATCTCCCATATGAATATGTCAAACATTCTGTGGTTCCAGTCTCTTAAATGTAAGAATGTGTTCATTTTTTCTGTTTTTATGAGTGCAAATTCTTTGACTACTACTTTGAAAAAGAGCAAGCAATCACCAGAATTATCATTAGTTGCAGATAAAAGGAAATGTAATTTTACATACTTTGTGCAACAGATAAAGGGCCAATCTATCAAGCTTAGAATTCACTCCAGGTCATATACTGCACACCTGTCGCCCTCCTGATGCTGACGTACCTGTGACGAGCTCCCGTACTTCTGCATCTACAGTCTTTCTCAGCAGCCGGAGCAGAGCCGGGATGCCTCCAGCGTTCCTCACAGAAATCTTATTGTCATCTGATGCTTTGCCAAAAACAAGGTTCCTCAGAGCCCCACACGAATTCCTCTGTACCTCAAGGACCTTGTGGTCTAGTAGGTCCACCAGGTGTTTGATTCCGCCCAGTCGACACACCTGTAGACAGAGTGAATGAGATCACATACTATTAACAGGTGGGAAGTGATTCAAACTAGGGGTCAGAACGCTCCAGCTTATATATGTTAGTCATTTCATGTGACGAGAATTTACGCACGGAATTTTTTCATACCAGTTACAAATGATGTTGAAACATAATGTTAATTTATGACAGTAAAAAAAAAAAGCCTTAACCACATGAGATGGTTGTTTGAATAGATTACATTTACATTTTTTTTCTGGTGCAAAGAATAATAATACTAAGCTTTCTGCTTTTTCACTGCATGAGCATAAATCATTTTGTGACACTGACATTTGGCATCTGAGAATAAAACCTCCATTCTCCATATCTGATGTCTTATTCGTCTTTGTGGGCCTTCCTATGAAAACTTTACTTATTTCTCCAAATTGCATTGCACGGAGAAAGGATGAGCTTGACCTTTAATGTTTGAGGAAGAAAGAGGTGGAACAACAAATTCCTGTGCCTATTTAGTTTTTTCTTTTTTAACTGTGGGCTGTGGATCTTGTTTTTCATTGGCTTATGGAATGACTGGGTAGTGTGAATGCATCTTTGTGTCAGATTTAATCTCTTCAAAGACGCCGACACCTCCGGAGGCAGTGCAAGTTCTCTACTCAACTGTGAGGCTCGGCAGAATGACCCTGCTTTGGCTTAAAAATACACAAATGATCAGTAGCATACTGAATGACAGCTGTTCTCAGGTATAGTGATGCTAACACATTTTAATGTAGTGCATTAAGATGCCAATAATTGCTAATTAGTATTAAATGCACTACTACGTAGAGGATTACTGCAATGCCATTAGTTAAAATCAATGTTAAGATATCCTAATCAGTGTTAATAGACGTTAATATATTTCAGATTGGGCCAGAGTGGTGGACAGTGCCCTCTCTAGAGCTGAGCTAATAATTGGATTTTAAAGAAATCTGCTGTTAATTAAAAGTTGGATCTGTATTTTTTATTTTATTTTTTAAAACTGACTTCACAGCTACAACAAGCACAGAAGGTCAAAAGCTGAACCAGAATATTAGTCTGGTTCACAATGAACGGTTTGTGACTCAATTTTAACTGTCCGTCTTTGTTTTCTCTTCCAAATAAATACAGCTCACTTGGGGGCTTTGTTTACAACTTGTCTGATTATCACAAATTGAAACAATGCTGCCGCATTTGAGTGCAACAGAACAACTAGGTGGAGCCACCAAAATAAATCAAAGTTGTAATAAACTGAAGCCTCCCTTTAAACAATGTACAACTGGCACTGATAAATGCGCATGCATCTTCACAGTGTGTAAGAATTATCAGAAGCTGAGGTGCGTTGACAAAGTCAATCTAACAAGGCACATATGGGATCAGTGACACAATGCCTACCTCAGCCTTGATTCGATTATCGCCAAAGCACAGGTGCTGCAGGTAGGCGGCCGCATTGGCCTGCACTGAGGGGAAGTGGTGCTGCAGCATGTGAATCACCTCCGTTAGCTCTGGGTCACGCCACGCAAACTCCCTAAAGACAGGGGCGGGACACAAAGGCATCGGCATGACGACAGAGGCAGTAACCAAGCTGTTCCCTTAAAAAAAATAAAAATAAAAATCACAGTCCCAGTCTCCGGGAAATTACATTCACATCCAGGACTATCCAACAATCCACTTCTGTCACACTTGGATTACTGTTATTCTCTGTGCAGTACACATTGTCTGGACTCACCCAGAAGTCAATAAAAAACACTGTTGTACTATATATCTACCACCATGTTGCCTATCTAATTTTCTTCTATTATTTAATACAGACTATATAAGTGAGACAAACGTGTCCAGAACTAGGTGACAAAACCAGATTACTGGTGTTTGACTTGTGGCAGAAACTCTATTGCACCACTGAGGGTGAATTAGACACACCAAAACCCCAGGCTGGGCAAACTGCTTTTATCTTTATTAAATCACAGCACAAACACCCAAAGCTGAAAAATACACTGGACGATTTCTCTGAACAGGAATCTTGTTCAACAAATATCCTAGGGGATGTTTTACGCCGGTGCACTTTCTGAATGGCCCCTAGTGCGTTCACATCATGAAGCCACACCACAGCAACATACACAGGTGGAAACAAAGCTCCCAGTGTACAAAAGGTCAGAGGTTTACCACATGGGGTAACCCGCTCTATACGCTTACACACGCCTGTACGAAAGGAGCAGGAGCAGCACTTTATTGCTAAGCGGCCAGGCATAGCTCTCTGTTTGAACAGTAAGAGGACACCGGTGTTGACCCAGCAGAACAGGCAGTCCCTTTGGATGACTGGTCCGTGCTACGTTACATTGGTTACTTACCAAGTACTATGTTTAAATCAAATCAAATTTTATTAGTGTAGCACCAAATCCCCCTTGAGCAAGCTCTTGGCAACAGTGGGGAGGAAGAACTCCTTTTAACAGAAGAACCCTCCGACAGACCCCGGCTCTTGGTGGGCGGCCTTCTGCCTCGACCGGTTGGGGTGAGTGGATAGAGGAGAGACAAAAGAAGAAAAGCAACACAACAAACAACAACAGACACTGCAAACAGTTCAGAAACTCGGCACACAAATTTGAACAGCGCTCACCTGGGATCCTTCTGAATACTGTCTATGGAGGGGGAGCGGGGCGCACCGTCAGCCATGACAATAGCCTGGTGAGGATAGCTGGGATCAGAGGGCTGGTACTGGGCAGAGCGATACGGATCAGCATAGGTGGCTGCTGTGCTAAGAACATAGTTGTTTCTTTGGTAGGTCATGGTGCTACGCTGGCTTGATGTCCGCTGGAGACTCCCCACACCTGATGGTCAAAAAAACAACACATTCAGAGACAGTTTTAGAAATCACACATGTGGGCTGACAAAGCTATGTTAGTGGAGATCAGCGGATCTTTTCAGCTAAACTAAATCAGTGGCATAAAACCAACCAAGCTGAAAACACAAACAGACAAAGCACATTTTCAAAGCTGGAACCAATTATTGATGAGGAGAAAACACAGCTCCCACAGTTCCACAGAGCCACAAAATCTTCTTCAAAGGCCTGTCTGCTTCTTGTTTTGTTTTTACGAGACTGTTTAGCTGGAGGGATCTACAGGTTTTTAAAGAGGACAGGAAGCCTCAACCTGCTCGACAATCCAGAAATCCTTCCCTCACTGCCTTCTTGCTCCTTTGTATTCTTAGGCTAACTTTGCCAATCACAACAGAGAGATAACGGTAAACCATGAGCAGCAACAAAAACAGTCACTACTAAAGCAGAAGCATCACAAACATGCAGAGAAATCATCCTTCCAGACACGGTGTCCAGTATTCAGCCTGCCAGCATCTCGTTTCAGTCATCTTTCCTCTTTTCAGTCGCTTCAAGTAATATTATGACCTAGTTTGATAACACAGAGGGTCACAAACACAGAACCGCATAAAGAAGCCCTCCTTCTCACCAGGGCCACATGATGTGTGGCAGCGTGACTGCTGTGCTGGCCAGATCTCTATCAGCCATCCAAAAGGACTGCGCATGTGTGTGATCAAAATCCCGCCTACCACGAACCAAGGCGTCAACTTGAAGGGCTGTTCCAAAAACACAATTTCTCACATCAGTGCACTTCTATGTTGGGCACCAGTGCTACCCTGCACAAAATGTAACCTACAAGGGCTAAAAGTAGTGGAAGACAAATTACAAACACAGTGGAATATTGCTGTTCTAGTGGAACTATTCCTCATCTTTTGTGCCAAGGATCAATATTTCTATTTAACATTTAAAAAAATTCTTGATGCCACCTGCATAAAAATGTACAGTGCAAAGCCAAAGACAACACAAAAAGCTTGTGGGAGAAAATGATGCCCTAAAATTTCATTTAACAACATAAAGAACACTCTAGGATCTAATTGGATTTTCTAATAAGGCAGCTCTTACAAAGACTCCATATTGAACAACTTCTCTGGCTCCGCTCGTCTTTTTGCAATATACCTGGCAAAAACACATCTGTGGGGCTTCTCAACGGCATCAATAGCAGTTATTAGAGAACTTAGCAGTCTAAGCAGATCTCTAGTGTGCCAAGGCTGAATGGAGTGTGTGTGTGCCAGCGCAAACTAAGCATATGTATTTGATTCAGGAGGGAGGATGAGAGAAGAATGCCAACATCAGGGGAGCTGGAGGAGAGCGAGCTGTAGACGCAGCTAACCAAGCTGTCCCCTGGCTCCTTCATCCCTCTTCTTATTCTCAATGTTACACACGGGTAATGGACTCCTTTGTGGCAGGATGACATATCAGTACCAGCCTAATAACTCATGTCTCACCCTCTCTCTCTGACAGTGGAGGGAGGAAGGAAAGGGAGGCGGGGCAGGAGGGGGTGACAGGCAGAAAAACAGAAAGCAACAGAGAAAAGCAAGCAAGAAAAAGATGCATAACATATAGAGTGCTGAGCGGCAGAGGGACAGAGACATGGTGGTGCTCAAGGAAGACAATACACCAGATTCAAGAGCCCCAAATTAAATGGCTAAGGTTGAGAAAATTTGAAAGGCAGCGAACATCTGTACAAGATAACAAGAAAGCGCTCTCGATGCAAAGATGAGTCGGCTTGAGATGAAAATGTTATGAGTGAAAAATTCTTTTGAAAATGCTTATCATGATCTGTGCAACTCTGCTGCATAGAGATACGGAGACAGCACGAGCAATAAAGAGAGGAAGATAGGTTTGGTAATAATTTGGAGTCTGAGCAGGTCACACAGCCTCAAAAAACAAAACACTATGTGTTGTTTGTTCACTACAGCAGCAGCAGTTGTTATTAAGCATATTATAAGACCCTGCCTCCACTGAAAAAGGCTCTTTCACATTCTCCTTTAATGTTTTACAATCATTTTAGCTAGTAAGTTGCATCAGTGTCATAATCAGACCAACCATGCAAAATTAGTAGTGACCACACAAACAGCCTGTAAAGTAACAGAAGTATACACACATACATATAGACAGATAGATAGACAGATAGATAGATAGACAGACAGAGAGATAGTGTGTAGAAATTGATGTTTTTGTGGAGTATGTTTGAGCTGTTGTTCCCTGTTGAGATGCTCCAAATTGACCTGTTCTTAGACAACAGTAGTTTCATCTGTATCAGGTGTTAGGATGTGACTCTAGCTTCACTAAAAACTACCTGTATGTTTGTGTTTCCAGACATTTGGGCGAGTGCACTTCAGACCTGTCTTTTGCAGCCTAAAGCAGCACTGGCGGCTGCAGTGCAGCCACAGTACAGTGAAAACTCAGTTGTGTAGGGCCTCAGAAATGCTCTGCCCTCTGCCATCGCTGAGATCAAGTCCCCCGAGGAGGAAAACATTGTTCTAAAGGAGCCGCCTGGAAAAAGGACTGAAGCAGGAAGAGCTGAGCCAGCTCCAACAGGAGTTCAAACAGAAAGATGAGCCTGCAACAGTGCAGAGATGAAAGGTGGAGGAGCACAATGCAGGAGGTGCAGGGTGAGAGGAAACTGCTCTGTGAGGAACAGCTCAGGAAGAAGGAGGCATGGTGGAAGGAGGAGGCCCAGCCTGGTGAACAGGTCAGCCTCCTCACCTCCAAGAACAAGGAGCTGCAGGTACAGGGCCTCAACTCACTGCTTCATCTTGTTTCATTCATTCTAAATTGTTTGTTTTAGATGAAATGAGAATTCATTTTTGGAGGTGGAATAAAAGGTTTCTCTCTTTTCAGGAGCCCATTCTCCAAACAAAGCAGGAGGAGAAAAAACATGGAAGAGCTAGAGAAAAAGAATGTGAAGAAAATAAAGGAGAACATGATAAGGAAGAGGAGAAAGAAAAGGAAAAGATGGAGAAAGATGGGGAAGAAAAGCATATGAATAACATGAAACCAACCCGAGGTGCTCCTGTAGAGGGTACCCTGCTGGGTGTGGCTGGGGCTGCGGTACAACGCACCCTGGAACGTCCGCTCCTCATAGATTGGTGCAATGTGGCGATCTGGGGACATGGCTGACCTTAAGTCCTGGCCCAGCTGGCTGTGTTGACTGGCATATGAGCTCCGTATTCCTGTGGATGTAGGAGAGTGGTTAGTGGATATGTAGTTAGCTGCAGAATGGTCCGGTGATTACAAAGAAAGCCTCATAACTGAAGCGTCAATGGTTTGAGCCCTGAGATCGAAACCTATCAATAAACTCTCCTGTGTAGAGTCAAAGTGTCATTGAGTAAGTTGCTGATTGACTTTCAGTTTATTTACTGTAAGTTCGTATCAGTTAGAACATACTGGTGTGCAATACAATGAGACAGATGACAGGAAAAGAAAAACAGTAGTTCTGCTTTTGATTACATTGTTTTTTCAGAGCATTCTGTGATTTTTGAACTATGTCCCTCACTTTCTAAGCAGCCACAGCTCTATGCGTATCATGTCTTTAGTTGAGCTTAAATGCAACACAACACAAAGACTTTAGTCAACATCTACTGTACATATGTTCTGTGGCAGATTGAAAGGAAATAACTAATACAGTTTGTATCCAACTCTAATGCACTAATTCAACCACAGATGAGGGCTGACCAGAGTCAACGATGCTGTACAAGGAAGAACGGGAATCAATCAGAGCATGGTCAAAGCAGATGTTGGGAAACATGTAGTACAATCAGCCGCCTGAGCCTCTGTAATCAGCAACAGGCTAACCTGTCCGAGGTGAGGAAAAGAAGCGCACAGGTGAGTGCAGCAATTAAAACTGCCTTCCAGACAGGTCACTGGAACAAGAGGCTCAGGGGGCTGCTTCAGGCAGCAAGTGCTGTCTGAGTAACAGCAGAGCAAGACAACAGCCACATCGCTTCCTCTGAATCCTTCTGTATACAGAAGACTGACAGCTATGAGGTCACCCATCAACCTCATCCCCTCACCTATCCACCCTCAAAATGCCTACGAAAAAAATTCTAGCACAAACACAGCACACGTGTTCTTCTTCAGATGTCATCCTTCATAACATTTTTATTTCAGTTTCTAGCAAAATAACTGAGCTAATGCTTGAAAATGGATGAAAACTACAGCATGATTCAGCCAATCATTCCCCTCCTTATATAAAACTAAGGGCTAAATGTTATTGTGTTATTTAAAAAGGCACGATAATGCTCAAGCTTTTACTGTAAAGTTCTGTACATGGCATGAGTGGTTATGGATTGCACATCATGTCATTTAAAGCTTTGATGGGTGCCGGGGAAAGCCGAGGATGACGTGGATACAGATTTGCTTTTCTTTAACCTCCATTCTTGTCAAACAAACCCACACATTCTGAGTGATCTACATGCCTGTGTTTGTGTTAAACCTCACATCACTCAAGCTCACTTGACTGTGAACCCCAGTGGACCAGTATACAGTTGGCAACAAACTGCTCGTTGCACATTTCACAACCTTCCAAATGTCACTTGGGCCCTCTCCAACTGCATTAGCACAGGCGCAGGCTGCTGTGAAACACCAATTCTCCCATACAGAACCAGCCAAATGAGGGATTCTTGTCATGGTTTCAGGCAGAGGAAATTAATAAATAAACATGTTTTCCTCCTTTGGGACCAGAGGGCCTGTGGGGGTAAGGCGGGGGAAGATTTTAGATGTAGACAGTCAGCTAGAACGAGGGTGACCTCTGAAGAAGATGCCAATATCTGGGTGGGCATCAGGCACCTTGGTCAAAGACCCTGCTAACCTCAAGCTACATAAATGCATAGCACTACTCAATTAACTAGATTGTTAAGATTATAAAAATTTACAATATGCTTTAGTCCAAATTATGTACTGGCTATGACTAGTTGATAGAGATGGCTAGTTTGTATTTTTGTGACGGAAAATGACAGCTTAGTGTGTATCAGTACTGCCTTTTTTGTTTTGCCACAGGGTACAGCCAGAGGGGTTAAGCAGGAGGTCTGGGAGAAATCTAGGTGGATGGCTACAGTTCTGGCCGGCTCCCGTGAGATTATCTTAGTAGAGCTTTCTCTTCTCACACACACCAATGTCCAAGTCAAGTCTACAGTGTAGGAATAAATGCTCTGTCAAAATATTACAGCCGAACTTGACCAGAAGTCTGAAGAGCAGGCATCCAAGTCTGATTTGGCTCTATTCCATTCAGCATGTTATAACAGTTACTGTACATAATAATAAAACATTTGGGCAATTTTTGTACTATTGCAAGTGCAAATTATTTAGACAGACGGATAAATACTTGACCCCAACGAAATTTTATGGTGTAAAGCAAAACTAACTTGTCAAGATTCTGTAATGTTTCAAAAAAAAAACTTTATCCTAAATGTAATTTTATCTCTGGCTATTTAGTTGCACCTCAGACATCCTCGGAAAGTAAACAAGGATGTGGAGACCAGTTACATGTTGAAGCTTTTTTCATTTGCTTATTTTGAAACCAAATCGAATGTCAAAAGTGTTTCTGCAGGTTTGAAGTGGTAACTAAAACTAAAACCAACTAAAAGAAGTCTGCCTAGTTTCATTATGCTTTGGTTATTCTCCTCCTCCTCCTGACCACATTACATTGGTGGGCCACTCTAAATTGTTTTATCTTCAGGCTGAACATCAGTTGCACTCCACACCTGCTACCAGGCTATTCATCCATAATTTAGGAAGTGCTTGGTGAAAAAAAAAACATTATTTCATATTTATTATTTTTAATTAGCCATTAAAAATGAATTCCTTTTAAACAAAGCCACTTAATGCAATGCTTTTAGTGCAGCTTAGAGGGTTTCACGTAATCCAGGTGAATGTTTCTTACGTTTCAGTCTGGTCAGTGGCTTATTGCTAAATAAACCATTGCGGCTGCTGTATGAAGTTAAGATTCATAATACTGGAGTTAATAAAAGCTTCTGTTCCAAGCAGCTCTGAGGCACAAAAGGGTTAAACTACATGTAAGGACTACCTGTAAACAAGTACTTTAAAATGGAAGGCATGCTGCTCTGCAGGGTACAGAGTAAAACAAAATAAAATAGAATAATGCTGCTGCTGTGAGCCACCGTGGCACGCTCAATAGCCCAGGAAGCCTTTGATTCGGTGGCGCTGCACACAATGGCCACTAGCTTGGCAGGAAATCAGTTCAGCTTCTCTTGTTCAAAGACTTGAAGGTGGTGGGGTTATGAAGAGAGAGGAGGCAGTCGGAAGACTTAAGGAAAGGCAGGAGCGACAGAGAAGAAAGCAAGAGAGAATGTAAGAGGGGGAGGGAGAGAAAGGAGGAAAACCAAAAGAGGGTTAATGAGGCCGTCGAGGACCACCAGAGATTTCTCATCCCTTGTAAAGCCAGCCCTCATGAAAGGGGCTTTTGGCTGTGACTGGGTGAGAGGGACACAATCTCCCAGGCACAGGAGCCTTCATGCATATTTCTCCCTCTCAGCAGTCTGACTCCTGAAAGCAGCAACATTCAAACAACCTTAGAGGAGACTAATCCGTCTACCTTCTTTATTCTGCTCCCCTGACAGAACCGCTGCAGTCACTTCTAAACGCATCTGCAAATCGTCAAGGAGAAATAACATAATGCTGTCTATTCAGGATGAACGGCCCACATTCCTGGTACATTATAGTCTGTTAATTCTCCCCCTCAGCCCTCTCACTGTGGCTTTAACAGATTACACTTGGCAGGCGCTATAGGTGAAGGGTGGTGGTAGCTTGGCACGTGCTTGCTCTGGAAAAGCAAAGACTTAAATGGATGCAGCTAATGGCGGTGCTTGGCAAAAATTATTTTCAAAAAAGCTCTTTAAACAAACAGGACAGCTGGCATGTTAACCAGTAAATCATTTTACATAAAGAACAAGCTATAAAAATAGAGTTAAAACTTTCATGGTGGCCTGGCTGTCAGATGGAGAACTCTTTCTCTGACCCACTCTGCTCTGAAATCAACATCAAGCATAATGAGCACATTATTGGAGACAATTTGTCTTCATTTTCCATTTCTCAGCAGCAGAGGGAAGGAATGACTTTCCTGCCAGTGACAGTGCAGGGAAC